GGACATTCACCTCCCCCTCAGAGGCAAACTGACGTCAGTGCCACCAGCCCAGCAAGACACCCCCCCGACTTGCCTCCTGGGAGCCCGGGATCCTGCCCTGGGTGGCCCCAGCCCTGCGCCTGCTCCTGCCCTGGTGCCCCCCGTGCATCAAGCCTCTCTCTCCCCAGGAGCGCAAGCTTTTCCAGCGGCTCCTCTGTGCCTACTGGGAGCCTACGAAGCAGCACTGGTCCACCAAGGGCTGCGTCCTGCTGGAGTCCAGTGGCTCCAGGACCCACTGCCAGTGCAACCACCTGACCAGCTTCGCCGTGCTCATGGCCTTCTATGACCTGGAGGTGGGTGCAGCCCTCGCAGGGCTCTCTCTCCCCAGGAGCGCAAGCTTTTCCAGCGGCTCCTCTGTGCCTACTGGGAGCCTACGAAGCAGCACTGGTCCACCAAGGGCTGCGTCCTGCTGGAGTCCAGTGGCTCCAGGACCCACTGCCAGTGCAACCACCTGACCAGCTTCGCCGTGCTCATGGCCTTCTATGACCTGGAGGTGGGTGCAGCCCTCGCAGGGCCTCAGGGCTGGGCAGGCTGGGGGCCGCTTCCCCCCCTCTCCCCAGTGGAGCAGGAGTCACTCGCCTTCCCCCTCCCCCGCCAGCAAACCCACTCCCCACCCGTGGCCAGGGCCCAGGAGCTGATCCAGGGCACGAGCAGCCCCTCTGCCCCACACCGTGGTACTAGGCGGCTTCCCCAACAGCAGCGGCCGATCTGCCGGCAGGCTGGCTGGGAAGCTGTGGGGTGGCCAGGGAGCAGTCCCCATCCCCGTTGCACAGAAGGGGAAACTGAGGCAGGGTGACATGTCTCAAAGAGAAAGGGAGGTGACATTGACGCAGGGAGTTAAACCCAAGAGTCCTGACCCTCATCCCCTCCCTGCCTTGACCCCTGACCCTACTCCCCACGCAGAGCAGACCTGAGCTGTAACACCTTGGCCACAACCATCCGTCCCCTCTAAACACAGCTCCCTGCCCGGGCAGAGACACTGCTCCAGGGGAACCCAGCCCCTCGCATGCCCAGGCCCCTCACCCTGCAGGGAGGTGCCAGGGTCCCTCTTGTCGGGAGGCTTCCCACTGCACTAGGGCTGCGGGTCACCCCTTGGGGCGGGGCCAGGCTGGGCAGCATCAGCTTGACCCAGGCTGCCCCGTATTGTCAGACGAGCCTGGCAGCACCCACAGCCTGGCCCGGCTGCTGCCTGGCATGTGGGGGGAGCTCTGACTACCCCCGCCCCTCCCGTGCAGGACTGGCGCCTGGACATCATCACCAAGGTGGGGCTGGTGATCTCGCTGCTGTGTCTGCTGCTCTCCATCCTCACCTTCCTCTTCTCCCGCGCCCTGCAAGGCCCTCGCACCACCATCCACCTGCACCTCTGCCTGGCCCTCTTCGTGGCCTACGCCGTGTTCCTCACCGGCATGTCCAGAACCGACAACGAGGTAGCGGACCCCTAGCCGGTCAGGGGCCCACGCCCCCCCAGTACCCCCTGCCGGGAGCTCCCCTCCCACCAGGCAGACTCCAGCCCCTGCTGCCCACAGCACCCCCTGCTGTCAGGGGCTGGAATAGCCCGGAGCCCAGCCCTGACGGTGCCCACTCCCCTTTGGCTGCAGGTGGCATGCGCCGTGGTGGCCGGGCTCCTGCACTATTCCCTGCTGACCGCCTTCTGCTGGATGTGCCTGGAGGGCTTGGAGCTGTACCTGCTGGTGGTGCGGGTCTTCAAGCCCCAGGGCCTCAAGCGCCGCTACATGTTCCTGCTGGGCTACGGCGTGCCGGCCATCCTCGTGGGCATCTCCGCCGCCTCGTACAGCGAGGGCTATGGCACCAAGCGATAGTGAGTCTGGTGCACACACGGGCGTGTAAGGGAACATGGCACCAAGCGATAGTGAGTCCGGCGCACGCGCGGGCGTGTAAGGGAATCAAGCCCCAGGGCCTCAAGCGCCGCTACATGTTCCTGCTGGGCTACGGCGTGCCGGCCATCCTCGTGGGCATCTCCGCCGCCTCGTACAGCGAGGGCTATGGCACCAAGCGATAGTGAGTCTGGTGCACACACGGGCGTGTAAGGGAACATGGCACCAAGCGATAGTGAGTCCGGCGCACGCGCGGGCGTGTAAGGGAACATGGCACCAAGCGATAGTGAGTCCGGCACACGCGCGGGCATGTAAGGGAACATGGCACCATGTGACTGAGTCCGGCGCATGGGGGGGAGGGGAGAGACGTGTAAGGGAACACGGACCCCTGTGACTGAGTCCAGGGTGCTGCTGTTGCTTCTGCCAAGGGGGGTGGGGCAGACCCTGCCTGCAGTGCCCCCACCAATCCTCCACCCCCTCCCTACAGCTGCTGGCTCTCGCTGAAGAAGGAATTCATTTGGAGCTTCCTGGCACCCGTCTGCATCATCATCGCGGTAAGACTCCAGCTGGCAGGCCGGGCAGGCCTCTACCCCCAGCCCTGCCCGGACCCCGAGTTCCCACCCACCTGACC